GTCAATAAATGTATCTAATCTAATTACAAATAACTTCTCTAAAATTTTTGAGAACTGTGGTAACAACGATATCGGTCTGTAATTACTAAACAAACATTTCTCACCATTTTTGTAAATAGGAATTACCTTTGCTATTTTCATAGCGTCTGGAAATTTTCCTGATGAAAATGACAGATTACAGATATAGGTAAATGGTTTAATTACATAAGACATGATTTCCTTCACTAAGGTCATGTCCATGTCTACCCAATCTTTTGATTTTTTATCCACAAATTTCTTTACAATACTCATTATTTCTTCCTCATCCGTTTTTCTAAGAAAGATGCTGTTTGAACAATCCCCAATTGTTTGAGTAACATCGCTATCATCTTTTGGTATCTGGGCAGCAAGTCTTTTACCAACATTTACGTAATAATGATTAAATTCGTTTGCTATTTCATTCCGATCATGAATTTCTGTATTTTCTTTTAAAAAGTGATTTGAAATACCATACCAATATCTGTGAATCCCTAGAAATAAATGTGACCCATCATATCAAAATGAGGATTAAGTCAAATTTGGCCAAAATGACCTAATTACATTTTCAGATTTCTGGCTTTAAAAGCTACATTTTGATACCTGGATCATCCTGATATCATAATTAAATCCATATATATGACTCAGTTTGTCTTGTTGGTTACAATAATACATAAATATTTGGTCTGAATCCTAATTTGATGTCATTTTATTGAGGAATTTTTGATGTCCTTATAAAGAGGAAACCTCTAATTATATTTGATTATTGAGATTTCCCAGCTAAAAAGAAACAAAACTTTGCTAGCTCACAGGGAAAATCACAAAATTTTAAGGTGTTTTCCCTCAAAATCAGTTTTTTGTTGCAACTGCTCAAAAAAGTGCTTCAAAATTTTGTTTTATGATTATATTTCAAACAGTTCGTTCAAATTATACATTGATAAGGCTTTTATTCATTCTATTTTAACAAAATGCAATTTTGTTAACATTTTATTCAAAACACTATATCTGCTTATTTCTCCAAACACCACTTTTGGTCTTAATCCTCGTTTTGATGTGATGGCTCACAAATGTATTTTATGTAGTTCCACTCTACATACTCGGGTCAGTTGGCAGCCGAATGAGGTCCAGCTCCACTAAGTCTGAGGACATGGTCCACAATGATGGTCAAAGAGCTGTGAAACGTGGATGAACACCTCGGTTCTGCCCCGGTGCCCCCAACTAAAGAAGTCCGATGCAGCAGTCAGTGTAGTGTCGACGGTCTGTTAAAGAGGACTAGACTCCTGGTCTGACGGTCCTCTCTCCCTCCCCTCTGCAGTCGGGTTCATCCTGTGTCACGCGGTGCTGAACAACGACGCGGCAGCCTTGTCTCTGTGGAAGCTGGCCCTGCAGAGCTCCACCTGCCTCTGTCTGTTCAGGGATGAGGTCTTCCACATCCACAAGGCTGCAGAGGACCTGTTCGTGAACATCAGGGGGTAGGAGCTGCACCGGCTCTGCAGGTTCTGGTCCTGGTTCAGAACCTGATGCAATATTTATCTCTTCCTTTTTGCATTTTTTAGATACAACAAGCGCATCAATGACATCAGGGAGTGCAAAGAACAGGCACTGTCTCATGCGTAAGTGTAAATAAAATTTTATTAGCATTCCTTTCATCATATTCTACCTTAATATTTAATCCTTTTTATATGCCTTAAACATAAAAAACACATTTAGAATAATTTCCTCACCACTGCCTGTATTTAATGTATTATTAATTTAAGTTCCTGTTCGTTTTTTTAGCTGTGATTTAAGTTTTTTTCTCCCTCCTGCTGTTTTTTTTTCTCAGGACAGAAACATCACCTTCTTTACTCCGTTTTATCTTCCTGTCTTTGTCTCATCTCAGCTTTTATCCTCATTACTTATGCCTCCTTTCCCTTTCATCTTGGTTCTCATTGTTCTGCTGTCAGTCATCCTCTGCATACGCTGTGTCCTCCTCAGGATTGTCCTGAAAGTGTCAGGATGCACTTTGTGTTCAGTGCTTTGCTCTGACAACCTCCTCCTGTCTGACTCTCTGCAGAGGCTCCATGCACAGAGAGAGACGCAAGTTCCTCCGATCAGCTCTGAAGGAGCTGGCTACAGTTTTAGCTGACCAGCCTGGGCTCCTTGGTCCAAAGGTAACCCTGAAAACTCTTAAAATTTCACATCAAAAATCAGTTTTTGTTTTACAGACTCAGTTTATTGTTATTAAAGGGGACCTATTATGCAAAATTCACTTTTTAAAGGTTTTTTTACTCAACTTTGGGTATGTACTTCTTAAAAAACAGTCCTAGAACAAAAAAATGCACACAGGGGCATATTTACTGTAAGCAAATGTATTTTTAATGTATATTAACAAGTTTTATACTTTCGTCATTTTGTGATGTCACAAGCCGTACGACAACCCACCAGAACCTGCGTTCAGCCCCTTACCTAGCAACCCCCAGGTGAAGCTCCACCCCCTCAATATAAAAAGCCGTCACAGTGTTGTTGTGCAATGTGCAGCTCATTTCACAACAAGCCTCCAACAGGACAATGGGT